TCAGGAAGCCCTCACTTACCTTTGGGGTTCATGCATTTCTCCTAAAATGGTCCCAACAGTTCAAACTTGGAAGTAGAGATCCCTCTACCCCTCCCACTCAGCACTGCTCCTGTTCTGCCCATATCCGATATCCAGCCCTCCCGGTCCTTCCCTGGTGGTTCGTTCAGAGACTCTTCTTTGGTTGCCAACCTCAGTAATGCTTTCCACACTCCCCTCGGATCTTGCACTTCTGCCGTTGCTGTGTCCACCGGCTCCAGGTGAGATGCCCCCCTGCATTTAGAGAACATCTGCAGGGAAAGACTGTCCCTAAGGGAGACAGTTTCCCATGGATATTACCATGATTACCTTGCCTTGTGAAAAGGATGAGTAAGCATCATTAGGATGGTAAAAAATTTTGATATAGAGTGTATCGTTTTGAATAAAGAAAATAAACAAGAACTTTTACTCGTAAGGGGGGCTCTCTTAATATTATTAAATGTTTATATACTGAAAAACATAGTATAGTTGAACCAATAAGAAGTAGGCCCTGACTTTTAATGAGTTAGTTAGAACATAACAGGAATTATCCCCAGCAACAGAGTGGGCCCATCACGATTCTCAAGTTACGGCAGCAACCTGGTCCCCTTCTTAGCCCCAGCCCCGGGAAGCCTGTCTCTTTTATGTAGAGGACCCTTTGTTGAGTAGTAAATGACAAGCCACTTGAGGATGGGGACCACATTTGTTCAGATTAGAATCTCTGCACCTATCACAGTGTGTTAACACATAGAAGGGCATTTAATAAATGTTGGTTGAAGGAATGAATATAAGTAATAAGTTCTTTAACCACTGGAGAAATTGCTCCAGGTTTTTATTTTATTTTATTTTTAAATTTTATTAGTCCACATGTGAAAGCTTTGGTCAAGATCAAAACACTAACCCTACAGTTTTGGGTAAGAACCATTTTGTTTGGCGCCCTGGGCCCTGCATTCAAAGCGTGGTTTGCGGAATGCCTGGCTTTCTGTGATGAAATGAAAGGTTTGTCTTTATGGTATTTTTAGTGTGCAAATTTTTCAAAATTGTACTTTATGGCTTCTCTTTGTTTTTGTTTAAAAATAAAATGGTGGTGGGGAGAGAAGAAACAACAACAGCAAAACAAACACAAAAAAGCCACTTTGATTCAGCACAGTGAGGGAGCGCAGCAAAGCGTGTTTCATTCTGGTGCCAAATGATGCTCTCTCAAATTGCAGCAATTTTTGATGCACTTGCCAATGTTTGTGTTATTTTTACTTTAAAGATGTAACAGATTGCTCCAAAATAAATAATTTAAGCATAATGTTTCAAAAGAGCCCAAACGCTCACATCTCTCATTTCTGGGTTGTCTTCTGGGACTAAGTTGCGCCTAACAGAACCAGCCCTTCTTGCTGCATAACACTCCGTTTGCAGAGCTGTTTTCTGCCTTTGTTTCTCAAAGGTGAATCTCTTTTTCACCATTGTGTTCCAAATGTCATAGGTTGTAGCATTGTTCAGCGCTGAAGCGACAGCTCTTATCCAAGGAAGGAGAGAGCAAGCTTCGTGACAGCTAGATTTCTGGTCTTATGGGAGTGGGTTTGGAAGGTGCAGAGAGGGCTCTGGGGTGAGCACCTAACCCAGGTCTCAGGAGAATCTGAGGATTTCCATTCTGATTCATATTTGGACTTCAAGCCCTGCACACAATGTCTTCATTGTAACTTAAAACAACTTAGACTTGAGAGGTTAACTTCAAAATGAATCCACCCTCAACCGATTAGCGGCCATCTCAATGGATTGTTCGCCTTAATGGCACAGTTTAAGAAAGATGAAACATCTATCACATTAATAAAAAAAATCAAAAGCAAATCTTTATGCTGTTCTGTACTTCATTAAATGAGCATGAATCACTATACTCAGAAAACAAAGCTAAAAATGAAAAAGACCAGCACAATAAACCGACAGTTTTGGGTTCTCGTTGACACAGGCCGCCATTGTGAGGTCCACCAGATGGTCGGGAACTACATGTGGGACCCCAACACCAACATGTCCTTTGACATCGGCGTCAACACAGAGAGCCTAATGCCTCTCTGGTGGAATGGATCAGAGCCTCTGTGGGTCACTCTGACCAAGGCCAAGAGGAAGGTCTACATGTATTACTGGCCAGGTGAGTGCCGACCTCAGGACCTCCAACCTGCCACATCTCAAAACACCATGGAGTCTCCAGGGACAACTGGTGTAGAGTTACTGTTTGAACACCAAGCCCGGGTTTGGAAAATGGGATCTTTATTTAAGAAATTGTTCTTATGGACATGTTTTACAAATCTTTGTTTTGAACTCTCTAGCATCAGACCAGACACAATGCCATTTCTTGATTCCCTTGGGTCAGCAACACTACTGCAGGCTACCATGCTTTTCTTTCCCATGCAAAATTTTGTATATACAGGAGAGATAAGGTAGAGGGTGCTTATTTGCCTTAACAAAGAGTTTGGTGCACCATTTCTATAGATTTTTGAGCTCCTCTGAAAAATATCAATCTTAAAAAGAGAATTCAAAGCACTCACATCTTTTGGTGGTGCATTAAATGAAGTTCCTTTGGATTAAGACTCCTCCTTTGCACCTCAGATCAATGAAGTAAGTAGTTATGCAAATTGCTGTGTCCTCGGGACACTCAATTTTGACAGTTTCGTATCTTTCATTAAGGATGAGAGGATTCAGCGATAGATAACAAAATAATAAGCTTACCAGTCTTTCCTCGGGTGGGATTCATTCATTAGGTAAGTGGACAGTTTGACTTTCCCATGCACCTGGCTGTAGACACTTTCCCCTAATTCTTAATAGTGTAATACTGGTGGTCGCCGTTTGGAAGAAGATATCAGGGGAAGCCTAGAAAAAATCAAGAGCAGCCTGGTAGGAGGTGGGAGAAGCAGCGGAGGGAACTGCACTGGCCTGGACTGGGGGCAGCAGCTGCCCAATGGCATTGCAGGAGTGTGATGAGCTGTGGGGTGGGTGGCAGGGAGCGGGCAGAGAGGAGATGGATAGGCAGGCCCAGTATGCACCCAGATGGCCTGTGCTGAGGGTGTGGGGCAGTAGGAGTCTGGAGGATGCTGGCTGGGGGTGGTCCCGTGGAGAGCTGCAGGGGTACCAGGGCCATGCCAGCTCCCACAGGAGCACAGAGCACAGACAGATGGAGACCTGGAAGGCAGCCCCACAGCCCAGCTGGGATGGGTGCTGTGGAAGTGGCCCCCGGCCAGCGACGGCATCCCTGGGTGAGCTCACGAAGGCCAGAGCCCGCTGCAGAAATTCAAAACTGGGCCGGAGAACAGACGGACACAGGCTGGCTCTGCCAGCTGATGGAGTCGCAGGGGAATTGTTCAGGGTTCCTTCAGAAGACACTTGGGATTCTGTCCCTGGCAGCCACCTCTGCTGACAGGAGAGGCTTTTGAGCAAGGGAGGTGTTCAGAAGGACTCCATGACCTAACAAGGAGACTCGACTTTGCGTGGAGTTGGATGTTAGATTGAGGAAGCAAGTCGCTTCAGGCCCAGGCTAATCGGGCTTGTAAGAGGACCTGGGCTTGGGGTTGAGCCCAATGTGACACCGTGTAAAGCTAAAATACTCTGCTTCCCTTTGTGCACTCTCAGAGGCAGGATTGTCCCCAAATGCATGCATAGGTATAGGAGAGGGCATGAATCGGGCACCAACTTAAAACAAATCCAAGGTCCATCACCGTGAATCAGGGCCATCTTCCACGACACCCGGTTGGCTTAACTTTCTCTATCTTGCAACCTCAGTTCTTCATGGTCTGAAAAGCAATCCCTGCTCACACAACCCCCCACACCACACAGGCCTCCTCCACACACGAGCTCCTGTCAGGAGCCCTTGGCTAGTGGGCATACTGGTGGCAAAGAGTGGGGAGATCCCAGAGAGGGATGGTCACCACTTCTCTCTGAAGCCATTCAGGGCATTATTCTGTACCCCATCTTGGAGACTCTGAATTTATATATCAACGAGTATCTAAAAAAATCTGAAAGTGAATTTGCATGAAAAATATCTTGTTGCTCCTCCAAAATAGCTCCTTAAGGCCAAGAAAGGACCAATCACTTCCTTTGACTCATGCAGCAGCTAATGTGATGTGACAAAAATGCCTTAAGATTGGCCAGCGTGTTAACTGTCAGGAGGAGAGAAGCTAAAAAGATCGTCTCCTAGAGTTTCCTCAGTGACCTGAACGGAGGGTCGCTAAAGACCTGGCTGTGTTGAAGTCTTCGTAGAAATGGAATAAAAAGTCTTTGTGTCTTAGACTCAGTCCAGTCCTTCTACACTGAGGACACAAACGCAGCTGCCGAGAGCCCGCTGCCCCACCGCCCAGCAGGACTGCCGCCTCCCTCGTCCTTTCTGGTACATGGTGTGGGATTCCTGGTCGCTGCTGCTCTTTCTCTTTGGTCCACTTTGGTCCCTTCCAGCCTCAGCCACCAGCCCAGGGAGTGCTCATTTGTCTCTGCAAGATTAAGTGAAGTGCAGGGGCATTTCTTCTAATCATGACTCAATTTTATTTTTCTTCTTAAATCCTTCTCTTCCTTCTCTACTCTCCATAGGACATTGCACAGAGCTCTCCATGAGGCCTGGAGAATCTTCCTTGCTCCAGTGAGCTGGGGTATGACACTTAGCGTCTGGCCGTTCAGTCAATATTCAGAAGTGCAATTGGGAAGTGGCGGTAGTGCACGACGTCCTGTCAGGTAGATAAAGCAGCAGGCAGAGAATTGATCCATGGTGAAGACTCCAAAATGCCCCACCTTAAGTCTTCAGACATTTAGTGTTGTCAGCAGACCATTTAGCGCTCCCCCCAATGGTGCCATTGAGCTGTGCGGAGAGAAATGTGCCTCAGGAAATGATCCTGGGCCTTAAATCAAAGATTTCTTTGGACAGACCCCAGAAATCAGCCAGAACTGTGTAACAGGACCCAGCAGTGTTCTGCAGGGGACAAGAGCTGAGTGTGTGTTGTTCGCTAAGTTTATTCCTCCACCCCATCCTTCCAGCTTGATGACAAAGGAATTTTATTCAGGGAGAGAAGGAAGGGGCTCCGATAATATGAATTACTTCATATTAGACAGCAACCCAAAGCAGAGAGAGATGACTCGAGGAAGGAGGAAAAATAGATAATATGGGAGGATAATAAGATGTTATATGGGAATAGAGTTTGATTGTCTTGGATAATCTGTGCTACCTTATATGGTGGCAGCAGTTCTTAAGTTTATTCTCATAGCTATCATAAAATACAAAAAAAAAAAGGAATAAAAAATAACAACCTTTCAAGAGTCTGTGGTGAAAACTCTTGGAGTTCCAGGTTCTACACGTTTCATCATGCATTTTGCAGCGTCAACTCCCTGCAGCCAGCAGCCAGGGGGACTTGGGAGCGACCACTTGCATGCCCCTGGGATGGCATGGAGTGTGGGTCTGGGCTCTTCTCCTGGCTTCTTCCTGTCCTGGGCAGGTGTTCAGAACAAGACACCTTCTGTGTAGAGAAAGACACATTTCCACCTGGCCCCCGCTTTCCAGAAGTGGGCTGCGTGGGGAGTTCAGGGGTAGGCACCCAACTCCAGCTCCCGTCAAATTTTGGTTGTTATAATAAGGGTGATTTCATCTGGATAAGTAAGAGGCACATGTTGGCTACTGGTAAAGAATTGTGGGTCATCTTCAGCCTCTTCCTCTTTCCTGCCCTGGTGGGTCGCTGACAATGTTCCATGAGGTGTCAGGCTGACCTTAGATGCACTCAGGTACAAGGGAAGTTTGGAGTCCTGCACCGCTCACGCAAAGGTGTGAGTTAACACGACAGCTAGGTCATTGCCTCTCTGCACGTGACACCAAACATTGGGATAAAAACTAGAATTTTTTCAGGCAAATATTTGACACTGCAAATATAAGGGATCTGGATAGTCACTAAATTTTCCAATAATATCACCAGTTTGACATTAGACTTTGAGATTTATGTAATTTTAGAACAGGAAGAGGCCTTAGTTAGGACACAGTTTGTTGGCTCTTACACTTCTAAAAACTTGATCAAAACTATGGATCTCCTTTATAGAAAAATACACCCACATATACTCTGCTCACAATTTTGTGCTCATGTAATATAGGAGACTACAATGATGAGGATTCCTGAGTGGTCCTTGATGTGCTAACACATACGTACCTATGATAGCTAATTGATTTGACTTTTTTAATGCAATGGAAAAGTGTTAAAAACTCATCAAAGTATCAAATTAAACCTAAGCTCCTGTAATTAAAGTTGTCTGGCAAGGGTAGATTTGGGTCAAAATTCTGTAAGACTCTTTGGGTTGAATTCACATTGCATCATTTCCTCTGTCAATAACTTTGGCAAGGTCTGCATTGCTCTTTTCTGTGCCAGCAAGAGAGAGATCACAGATTCATATTTCAAGTGTGAGATTGTCTCCAAAAAAGCGATCTTCAAAAGAATTCTGCAAGGTTTCTGGGCATTGACCACGTCTGCTGCAGAGAAATTGAAGAGGTGCTACCTCTCTGGACTGCCGTCTGCAGAAACGATATCTCCAGCATTCAAGCATTTGCATAGCTGTCTGTCCACACCCAGTTTCCTTTTGCAGGATGGTATTTTGGCCAAAAGAGCGTATACTTTTTCAGCAGCATTCATTATGTTGATTAGAATGTCTTAAAGAGCAATTCAGGGGCGAACTTCCATCCTTCACAAATCATGGTAAATCCGTTTCTTTAAACAACTTTAAAGGGTGTGACTCAAGGCCCTGGAATTGTTCTCAGGAGACAGCCGTGAGCAAAAGCAGACACAGGCTCGCCTCCCCCTGCACCCCATCCAGTGAAGGACACAGGTGATCTAATATTTACCCAAAGAACTGTGAAGGCACAATTATTGCAAGTGCAATAATGAAAAGTATACCTCGTGATGGCACCATCAGATAAGCGGTCTGGTTCCAGCTGAGAGGGTTGACAAAGGTGTCCCTGGAAAGTGACAAGAGTTAACATGTGAGAGGATGGGTGTCGGTGACAAGGAGCATCCAGACTGAAGGTCCTGGAAGGGGTGAGGAGAAGCGAGGATGGTTCAAGACGCAGGAAGAGGGGAAGACGGGTGTGGTGTGGGCGAGACGGAGAGGGGCTGAGGCCAGGTTCTGTGAGCTGAG